TACCTGACCTCTTATATTTCAAAAAGATTAGTCTATTTTGGAATATATCATATTTTAAGACGCTTGACTATATCATATTTTAAGATGCTTGACTTCATTCAAGAAATCATTTTAGATAAAGAATTTTATGAGCAACAATGCAAATCTTATAGAAATAAAATAGTAAAAAAATTTTAAAAAATAAGTAATATTGAAAAATTAGATGACTATCATAGTCTGAAGAATCTCAAGAAATTAAAGCGAACAGCAATAAATTTAAATGAAAATCTGAAAAGATTAAAATAGGCTAAGCAAAGATTATCTTTGTTAGCAACTTAATATAATTTTTCGGTATTTATTAAGCTTAACATCCCAGCTACACTTTAGCTTGCAATCTGAGTTAGGTTCCAAAAACCCAACTAAATTTGCTATTAGAGCATAAAAGAATTAAAACACAATCATTTTAAGAATGTATTTAAGAAGAGAAGTTAAATTCCATGAACTACAGATAGATATAATTTCAAAGATTATAGAAATAGAAGGGTTGCACTATATCCCTTATAAGGATAATCTTCACCAAATATGGTATATAAAACCATCTCTAACAAATTGCCAAATACAAGGTTACTGCAATAAAGGGGAAGTCAATTTGTGCAGGCATTATTTAAGTGGAGCAAAAGGAGAGCTTATGACAAAGTACTTGTTTATTTTGAGAAAGAAGAGACATAAGATAACTGCACATCGAAATGGCCTTCAAAGGTGTATTCTTGACAATTACGGCGCTAGTGATGGCTGCAACAGTAATAGGTACTGCTGAAGAAGATCAATGTTACAACGATTGCCTTAATCAATGTCCTCAAGGGCCTGAGCTGTTGGCATGTGATTTACAATGTCAAATTAGGTGTTATCATATCACGGCCTCGTATGTCAAGCTGGGCTGTTTGATTAGAAATTGCGAACAAAGCTTTAAAGATGGTAATCAAGTCGATCCTTCTGGTATCTACTCTCATTCCCTGCCTGTGCCCAACTTTTTTTTTGCCCCCTTTGAATGTTGTAATTAATTTATACATTTATGAGTTAATTTTGTTTGGTTTCTAATGTCATGGCAGGTCTGGATGGAATTCAGAAATGTATCAAGGCATGTTCGAAATAATTCAAGAGGCCATTTGTTATGTTTTACAAAGATGGAATAAATGAAATCGATGTTCTAGATTGGCATCTCTCTAAATGGTCTATTTTTTAAAAAAGAAAAAATTGAAATAAATGTAAACATCATTTATCTAATGAGAAATGCTAGTTTGCACTCGGGTCAGGTGGGGTCAGATCATACATAGCATCAACTTCAAAATTTGTGCATCACCAGTTATATCCTTCTTCAACCGCTCATGCATGATGCATCGAAAACATTATAATTTTTGCTTGTCTTATCCTCGGTTAAATTCTTGCCATAATTTCTGCTTGTCTTGTCCTTGGTTAAATTTTTGCTTAGAGACTTTGAAATCATTTGCAATTAGGTGTGAATGTTGCAGTCATTGCGAGCCCTCTAATTTCGACCATTTCCACGACGTCTCCACGTTTGCCATCAAAATCAATCCCATTCACATTGCTTCACTTGACCATTTCGCCTTCTTCAGTCTTCACACACAGTTGCAACTCTAATATGAATGGGTTTTGGATTATTTTTCTTTAATATTCCACAATTTATTAAGGTAAAGAGTCTGTGCGTGGAGCAATTCAATGTAAAAAATGTGCAATTACGATTGACCCCGCAAGCAGAAGCAGCCATGGAATTGGAAATGTTCTTCCGAGAGGCCAAACCAAACCACCCTCAACTAACCCAATGGGGTCTACTTTCTTGTTCGATTCCAGTCTCGGAGCTTTCTTTATCCTTACATAAACAAATCCAAACCTAACCACTTTCCATCAACGAATCATAAGCAACTTCAAACAATTTTATAACAATTAATTAATTGCTCTCTTTTTTTTTTTGGCTGATCGTTACGTCCACCTAGACCCACTTTAAAAATCCATTCTTTGGCAATATCCATTATTATTATTATTATTTTTGATAGTTTATGGTTTGTTTTGGGAGAAAATGAAGTGTTTTCACTTCACAAATGCAGAGAGAAGGGAGGACGAGGACGGCCGTGGCGGGTTGGGGTCCAGGGCCTCCAGGTTGTCGTGGACGAGGTCGCTGAGTGTGGCGTCCTGCAGTATCGATACCAGGTGTTTAGAGTTTCACTCGGCGTCCTGGGACTTCTCAGATTCTGCGGCAAGTTTTTACGAGTTTCTGATGCACCGACGTGCCAACGATCTGCGGGTTTTCTCGTTTGCTGAGCTGAAATCGGCTACGCGCGGGTTCAGTAGGACGCTGTTGATTGGGGAGGGAGGATTCGGTTGTGTTTACAGAGGTGTCGTTATGATTCCTGATGAAGCAAACGGCGGTGCTGAGGTGAAGATGGATGTTGCCATTAAACAGCTGAACCGCCATGGTTTCCAGGCATGTTCATTTCTCCATTTTCCTCCTATTTGCATCGGTAATTACACAATGATCTGGTTAGTTTAGGGAGAGAACATAGTAAAATGCCAATGTCTTCTACAGATGAGGATTAATTTGTGAAATTTTACATTTTTTTAATGTAATTATTATCTTTGGATAAGGTTTTCTTACGGGGTTTTAATGTTTTGCATTTCTAGTATTCAGGGGCATAACGAATGGATTAATGAAGTGAACTTCTTGGGGGTGGTGAAGCACCCAAATCTTGTAAAGTTGGTGGGATATTGTGTAGAGGATGATGAGAGAGGAATTCAACGGCTTTTAATCTATGAACTTATGCGAAACAAAAGCTTGGAGGATCATTTGTTGGCTCGGGTTCACTCGCCTCTTCCATGGATGGCTAGATTGAAAATTGCTCAAGATGCTGCCCGGGGTTTGGCATATCTGCATGAAGAAATGGATTTTCAGGTAGATGTCATATTGTGCTGCTGAATTTTGAATTCATGACTCTTTTATTATTGTTTACCAGTGCTTATACATGCTCAATCATGCGCATATGATTTCTTATTGTGTTGTTTGAAGTCTCAAATGGCCTCATTCTATGATACATAGGTTTTGCTTCCTGCAATCGTCTGTTGTCTTGAGTGTGAATAGTTGACAGACCATAGATATCAGCAACTTGTTTCTGGTCGACTTATCTGCAATAATTTCAGTATGAACTGTTTTGGTCAAAACTTGATTGGTTCCATGGATAATGCCAATATGTTAATATATCTTTGGGTTCCTTTCACGGTATTCCTTTTGTTAGTGTTGATTCTATTGAGTAGGCTGATTAATAAAGTAAGGTGTTTGTCTGCATGATTTTAATCTGTATACAATCTATGCAGCTAATATTTCGAGATTTCAAGACATCAAATATTCTACTAGATGAGGACTTCAATGCAAAACTTTCCGATTTTGGATTGGCCAGGCAAGGACCACCAGAAGGACAAAGCTATGTTTCCACAATAGTAAGTTGATTATCTTTGTGCAAACCATACATAAAATCTTTTCTTATTTGGTTCCTTGCTTTGTTTTGGGGCCTTGGAGATTCAATTGGTGCCAAATTATGGTCATCTTGATGATTCTGGTTTTAAAGTGAAACCTATTCATTTGTTCTTCTTTCCTGAATTTGTGAAAGGTTGTGGGCACAGTAGGTTATGCTGCTCCAGAATATGTGCAAACTGGCAGGCTAACTGCTAAGAATGATGTTTGGAGCTTTGGGGTGGTTCTGTATGAGCTTCTCACAGGAAGGCGAGCAGTGGAGGGAAACTTGCCACGCAGTGAACAGAAGCTCTTGGAATGGGCAAGGCCTTACACATCAGATCCAAAGAAATTTCACCTTATCGTAGACCCTCGACTTGAAGGACAATATTGCATCAAATCAGCTCAGAAACTGGCATCCCTGGCAAACAAATGCCTAATGAAAAACCCTAAGTCTCGCCCTAAAATGAGTGAGGTGGTTGATATTCTAGGAAACATCATTTGTGAGAGTTCATCTCAAGATGAGGGTGCCCCACAATCCGTCAGTGAAGCAGATGATGTTAAAGGAGAAAGTGAAGTAGAGATTGAGTCTGAGTCGACAAACCAAGAAAATAGTTATCGAAAGAAGGTATTTGATTTCAGAGAAATGGTTAGCTTTAGAAAAAATCTATTGGGAAGTTAGATTGGAGAAATTGGACTCCTGGCTTGGTAAGGACTTCGTAAGCTTTCCAGCCTCTGCTAATGAAATAAATTCAAATGCATTTTGAATTGCCAGATGAATTCATCACATTCTGACAACTAAACAACGACACAGCTATACATGTTGACACTCATTGAACAAACGAGAGTATCTCACCAATTCATTTTTGTTTGGAAGTTAGATGTACATATAGCTGAAAGGAATACTGCACTCAGTACGCATGGTGAGGCACAAGATCTTGTTTTTTTCTTCTTCTCTCCTATGAAGTGTATTTTTTTCCCTAGTGTCTATTGATGCACATATGATGATTATATGGTTATGATGTTTTTGTCAAATGTCAAGCTAAACTTGATACTTTCAGTTTTCCCAATTCTGAGCTAAGTTTTTTACTTGGATTGTATGTTTTGTGGTTTGCATATAGCTTCACGTTTTGGATTTTCTAATATTTGAAATTATCCTCCATGATTGATTGCTGAACATATAAGGAAGAACATATGCTTTGACTGATAATTGGAGTCTTAGAATTGATAAGCTTTGTTGCCAAATCCTCATTATCTCAACTAGACTTCCTCAAACTAATGAGTCTGTTTAGTCTACCAAATTACCGGCTGTAAATCCGATTACACACCTATTTTCCACATTGAAATGCTCCAATTTCAGTTAGTTCTCCATTATTGACTGGATTTCTAGAAGGCGGCTGGCAGGCTCTCCTCATTGTCTTGAACACGGCATCAAAACATTGATAATATTAGCTCTTTTCTTTTGGTCCACAGTATTCTGAAGAATTAGGCAGCGCAAAAAAAAAAGCCTAAGAACCTACAAAAAAAAGTCGTATAACTTTGCTTAGGCATTCTTTCGCCTTTTTGTTCTGGGAAAGCAAGATTTGAATCATATAGCCAGATTTCTACCTCCTTTATTCCTCTATATATTAATACTAGGTCTAAAAGTTGGTTTGTTTGTGGTAAAGTAGCCATTGGTGCCACTTGACCCATATGACAAGACTGAAATGTTGGAGAGTAGATATCAAAAAAGCCTTTGATTCAAGCGAGATGCTCAAATACTTAATAATAAGGATAAGGCTACTTCAAATGGGAAAAGCCACATTTCAGTATAGTGGGAAGTGCTGGAGTGGGGGACAACGCTCTGCAATCACACCAATAGCCCTTTTTTATCCTCAATAAAAGCACAATTTGAACATCACAACAAACAGTATATATTAAGGAGGGTTGGCAAGCCCATCTGAAAATGTGCCAATTTGATATAAAGTTCACGAACTCGTGCTGGAGAAGAGATGAAAGCAATAGGGAAGGTCTAACTATTTAATACAGAAGCACTTGCATTAATAATTTTCCAAGTTGGTTCAAAGTGTTCAGCATGTCATGCATTCCTCGTGTTACAGGCTGACCTTACAATTGTGTCAAGAGAAAGATTTGGTTTTGAATACATAATCTGAATTAAAGCACTGTACAGAAACCGGGCTTGGAAAATTGAGTGCCCTTGTTGCAAAACCATATCAACATACTTTTAAGGAAGAAATGCAGCTTTTGTCAAGACTTTCGATTCAATTCTCAAGCATAGAGAGCAGAAGTAGAGGGCCGAGGATATGAGGCAGTGCTCGTTCTAGTGCTAGCATCATCTGCACTGTGTCTACGAATCCTATGTCTGTCACTTGCATTGTTCCGAGTGCCCCCCGGAGCATTGGAATCTTGTAGTTGCTCCAATACTGTCACAACCTCATCCATATTTGGCCTGAACTTTGCTTCTGTGGACAGGCATCGCAATGCAATAGTAGATGTCTTAAAGGCTACCTCCATTGTATACTGGCCTTCTAGGCGATTATCTATAACTCGGAATATTTTACGCTTGTTGGCAAGATAAGGCCTAGCCCATTCCACCAGATTGTGTTCTCCAGATGGCCGATTCTTGTCAACCGCTCTGCGGCCAGATAACATTTCTAGCAGCACAACTCCAAAACTATAAACATCACTTCTTGCTGTCAGATGACCTGTTGGTCAGCAAAAGTGCAATAATTACCAAATATGACCAATAAATCAACTCCAATAAAAAGGAGTCTAGAACTAGAATATATAAGAGAAGTTACAAGAAGGAACCTTTGTCTGAGAATCTACTATAAAGTGGACAAGAGGCAGCCAGGAAAACTAAATCAATTAAGCAGTTGAAAATTACACACCTGTGGCTAGATACTCTGGAGCAGCATATCCATAGGTCCCCAAAACGCGGGTAGAAACATGACTTTTGTCACCTATTGGCCCATCCTTAGCCAACCCAAAATCAGAAAGTTTTGCATTGTAGTCCTGTGATTGAATAAGAAGGAAAAAGGTTCTTAGAATAGGTAATAAGGGATTAAAAGATTAAGGAAACAATCTCATAGATATAAAACGATTGACTGAGCTGGTCACACACTGAATCAAGCAGGATATTGGAAGTCTTGAAGTCCCGATATATCACTTTTGTTTCAGAACCGTGCAGAAAGGCAAGCCCCTTTGCAGCACCCAGAGCAACCTTCAAGCGTAGGCTCCAAGAAAGAGGTTGGAAGTAAGAACCTCCTGATAATGCAGCAATGTCAGTGTTTTCTAACACAATATGGTATAATTTTGCCAAGAGATAGGCTGGAGGAACTTACTCCTGAATAAATGATTTTCCAAGCTTCCTCGAGGCATGAATTCATACACCAAAAGGTGGTGTTCATCCTCCAAGCAAAACCCAATCAATTTCACAAGATGAGAATGATGAAGCTGCCCAAGATAGTTCACTTCTGTCTATAGGATTACATGTAAGAGACAAATCAATTTGCACAAATTAGATCAGCAACTTCAGTTTAGGCTTTTCAAAGTTAACAAAGATCAAAACAATTGAAAGACACTTCAATATGCTTCCATCATAGGCATCTGAATGGTAAGGTTCAATCCTAGATAACAACTACTGAATTTCAAAGGCAGGGGTGTATGCATTATGAGCTCAAGTCCAACTAAATTCACCAGTTTAAAATATTTTAAAATATTTTTAATTAACCAAATGCAATGTGCAAATTTCAGTTCCAATTGCTTTATCCATTATGAGGTGATATGAACTTTCGGTTACTTACCAACCACTCCTGATGACCTTGACAGCTTTCTGGGTTCAGCCTTTTCACAGCAATTACCTTGCCAGTACCAGGCTTGGAAGCAGTAAATGAATGCTCATCAATCCAACCTTTAAAGACTGAACCAAAGCCACCTTCTCCTAGCATACTATCTGGACGGAAATTCCTGGTAGCCATTTTGAGCTCGGCAAAACTAAAACTCTTCAAATTGGGGGACTGTAAAATCTCACCCTCACTTCGAGGAGTTGGAGGTACTGAAACTGATGAGCCTTTACTATTTGTAGCACCACTCACATCAGAGCTTACATTCTTTGAACTCACCCCTGCATTCATAAAGGTATAACACGGTGACAAATTTTTATTTGACAGAAGTCACAGAAGCCATTTTTAAGGACTAATTTCCGGTCATCCTCCACAATGTTAGTGCAAAAATGACTTCAAGGTTGTCAGGAGACCAGGCCAGTGTCAGACCAATACATATGTATGAGATCAGATACCACCTTGAATCTAAAAAACTCACGGCTCTCTCCACATGTATATTCTGCTTATTATTATCACATCTTTTCCATGCAAAACAACCACACTTTACATGCACGCCCAATGAAGTTGCATAGAGTAGTTCTCAGAAAACCAATACAATTATTTGATAACAACCGAGCATAACTAAGAAAGTAGCAAGGATACAATTAAAGAGACACAAGGATGATCATTATTTATCACACCTAACTAGTGAGACATGCTGGCATGCAATTTTAAGCAAATAAAACTGGAATCTTTTATGAATCTATTTCATTCATATTGATTAAATATCTACAACTGGCTAATTACGTACTCAATTCTAGAGTCTAGACAAACCATACCTACTTGAGGACTATGCAAAAATTGTCAAACAAATTTAACAAATTCCTATCAATCATGAAAAAAAAAAAAGGTAACAAAACCGAAATTTTGCTAAAAATAGCTAAAACCCACCCAAACCAACCCAGAATCCCCTCTCCCCAGATAAACCTGAACCTTAAATAAACCCAAATCCACAAAAGAAACGACAAAAAAAAAATGGAGGGAATTCCCCAAAGAATCAAAAAAACACGAAATCTGCTCCTATATTTGACTAATTCTCTAAAGCTTTTCGAAAATTGGGTTATTCATCAAGAGCCAAAGTTCTGTTTTTTTTTTGGACAGAGAGAAACAGAGTACCTGTATTACATGGGCTTTCGGCTTTGATTCTGGCGCTCAAACAAATCCCCATGAAATCAAATCCCCAAAAGGAGGAATTCTCTGCAACTATCTTCCTGCAGATTTTCACAAGCAACCAAAGGTGAAGCTTCAAATGAACTAGAAATGAAAAACCATGAGAAGCAGATCTAATTCTGAAAACCAAATTCCTTCTTTTAACCAAAGAACAACACTTCCCACATAGATAATTTTTTATGCAACATGAGATTATTGTCCCAAAAAAAGAAAAAGTACACACAAAAAAGTGAGACAAAGAGAAAAGAAACCCATGATCTAGAACATAAAAAAGGGGGAGAAAAAACTCACCTTTTCCTCTGCAAAACCAAGACAGAACCAAACTACAGAGACCCGAGAGTTGAGAGAGAAGAACTAAGATATCGGTTATCGTTTTAGGGCTTCTCGGATTGTATTGAAGGGTGTCTTTGTTGTTGGTTGACTAGTTTTGCAAAAGATTTGGGATTTTGAATTTAGTTTCAATTCTGCAACTGGTAGCAGCTAAACAATAGTGAATTAGTGACGTTGCATAGCAGAGAGAGGAAACGGGTAAAGGAAGAATTGCATTAATGGCGGGTTTGTTCCGTTTTGGAGCACAACGTTTTTATACTGAGTCAAGTCAGAGAAGATTTAGCCTTGCACAGAACTGCCATCATTCTCAGCCGCTAGATTTTCTATTTCTAAACAATTTTTTTTTTTTCCTTATTCAACGATAATAGCTTCCACTTCCTCTCCAAAGGCTTCTAGAGCCACTGGCTTAGCTTAGTTTAGCAGCCCTGATTTAAATACTCAGTCTCCCGATTTGATATACTTTCTTGGACGAAAGCGTTATCCGTATGGTACCACTTCTAGCCGTTTGTTTGTATTGAAAAAGTTGGAGAGGGTAGGAAAGGGAAGTAAAGTGGGGTGCCATCTTTTCTTCTTTAATTTAATAATTTTAACGTAGCCTACTACTTATAATTATTTAAATAATTTAATAATTATTTTTTTATTAAAAATAAAAAATCTTAAATTTTATTCACATAATATGCAAATAAATAATAATAATAATTTTAACATACAAGAGGGGAGATGGAGGGAGATCTCTCCTCTGTTGTTTTTCATTTTTTTTAATTTAAAAAATTATGATAGATTGTATTGGTTTATTTATTTTTAAATTTTTTCAAAAATAAATAAATAATTTTTTATTTTAATTAATTATTTAACTAATAAAATTTAAAATTTTTATTTTTATTTTTTAAAAATTATTTAATTAAATAAAAATATTATTTTTTCTTCTTCTTTATTTTTATTTATCTAAATAAGGCTAGCATAAATATTTTTCTTTTCTTCACTTCTCCCTCCCCTCTCCTTCCTTCCTTCCTTCCTTCCTTCCTTCTCTTTTTGTTTATTAATTTTTATCCAAATAAATGTTTAAACAAAAAATATTAAAGGATCCTATCACTCTATTAATAATTACAAAAAAATGAAACGCGCTCAGTACAAGCTGCATTTTAGTCTTCTGTTTACCAATTTGCTTTTTGATTTTCACATTATGTTGGAGCCTTTAAGATGACAACATGATCAAGTTGTCTCTCGTGGCTTTGGGTTAGATTTTGGATGTTCTACCTCAATTTTCCATCTCATTTTCTCTCTTTCCAATCAGAAAAAAGGAGAGCTTTTTTCTGTTTTTGCTCGGACCCATGAAGATAGTTCTTGGAAACTCATGTGATTTATCTGGTCCCATCCTCCAAAAGAACATCACAATTCACACTTGCCTGGAAAGTGAAGAACTTGGACACACTTTAATGTGACAAAAAAAGAAGGAAAGGAAGCATCACTGTGCCAGCATCTCGATTCCTGACTTTTGGAACGGAGCTTATATATGTGAATGGGAGGACAGAAACCATTTCCATGTCTTTTGGTCTTTTATTACCCAAAAGCAGTACAAAAAAAGTGTCTTTCATAAATACTCAAATTCAATTATTTAACAATTTCAATCTCTTGTCTGCCCTGTTTTGTTATGGGATTTGGATCTCGGAAGAAAATTCCATCTTCTGAATATAATTAATTTGAGGAAAAAGAGGATTAAAGGAAATAATTTTTAATAAATTCGAGGCCAAAAAGTACTTGCGAATTTAAGCATTAGTTTTCACAAATCGCAAAAGGGTAAATACTATTTTTGTTAGTAATTAAAACCGTTAAGTAGGATCAAAACCGTAGTAAAGTGGCAGCCTTCGAAGTGCCGCTTTCTATCATTGCTTTTTTTTTTTTTTTTTGAATAAAATATTATGAGAGATTAAACTCATTCAAGTGGTGGAGGAAAACTGTACGTGACAAAAGTGATTCGACTAAACGGATTAAGCGTTTTTTATCATTATTTTTAAAATAATAAATCACATTTTACTTAAAAAATTAAAACTGTATATCCCATTTAAAAAAAGATTTTTTTTATCAAGGTATAGATTAAAGTTATATTTATTATTTTTTATA